ATTGGTTTTTAAACAATACATTAATATAATTTAGGTATATTCTATTTTTAGTCTCCAACATCGAGTGACTCGAACAATCAAGATGAGTTGCCTATAGAGTATGTTATACCACGTCTTGAAGACGAGCAACAACGTCTTGTTGATACGACTGCATTAGAAATGATTCGTGATTATCAACGTGCTAAACAACGAATGATAATACTAGAAATCCCATTACCACCTTCACCGGCCGAGGACCGGAGAAAAGTAGCACTATATAACATGCAAATGCTCATTATTGCCATGTCTGAATATATACGACAATTTGTGAACACGGTCGACATCATTGAAGAAAAACATATGTTAACTCCAACAATAGAAGATCGAGTCGAATTGACTAATAATGGTTTCGAACTAATTGAGACTTACATGATTTTTTTTGAAAATCATGTAGACATGACGAGTTTGCATCGGATGCAAGTTCCCAGTTGTTGGCCATAAATGTAATCTAGTTTTATATATGGATATTGTAATGCCTTTTCAAAATGAATTTTGTAAAACAAACAATATGATTATCTAAAAATGACAATTATCATTTTTCATTAACATTATTGCAAAAAACGTTATTTAACCTATCACATACTTAGATTAGTTTCCACAAAGGGATGCATCTTTTGTTCCCGGTTAATAAAATCTCCTATAATTGTAAAGAATACATATTATGATCTCCTTATTTGCATTTTCAATCCACTTCTTAGCTTGTTTCACTTCTTTCATCGCTTCTGCAACCTATTTTTCCTTTTCATTTACTTGTTTCAATAGATCGTTTGCACGTTGATTTAGTGTGCGATTTCTTTCAGAGTCCCTTTCGTTTGCTTCTTCAGCAGCCTTCATAGCTTGGAAACCGTCATTAGGCATTTTATTCAGTATTAGGAAATTTAGGCCTTCCGAAAAAGTGTTATTATCTGAACAAACATAACAATCATCTTCTTCACAATACCAAACACCATCATGAGATGAAGTCATTCCAATATTATTTCAACGTCGAGGATTTATGCTAGGTGCATTTTAAGGTCGAAAAACAAGTGTCCGAAATAGCTATTCCGGAAAGTGGCTTCGGAGGGTCCAAAATACTATCAGGAATCTGACATTTACTGTACGGAATGACTACACATACTGTCAGGAATCTAAGACTTTTACTGTTGGCAAATGACTACACATATGTAAGGAATCTATGACAATTTATGTTCCAAAATATCAATTCTGGAATGTGGCTCTAAAATAGCTGGTCCGGAACCTGGCTCCGAAATAGCTGGTTCGGAACGTGGCTCTGGAATAATGGTCTGAAAGGTGGTCCGAAAGACTGTCATGAATGTATGTCATTTACTGTTCGGAATGACTATACATAATGTCAGGAATCTCTGACTTTTACTATTCGAAATGACTACTCATGTGTCAGGAATCTAAGACAATTATTGTTTTGGAATTAGGGTCTGAAATATCAATTCCAGAATGTGGCTCCAAAATGTGTTTCCGAAATAGTTTCAAGAACCATAACACTACTAAATGCCATTATATAAAGAACCATAACACTACTAAATGCCATTATTAAATTTACTACTAAAAACCCATTTATCATAATATAGAGAAATGACATATTGCGATTGTGGCGCTGAATGCATTATAAGGACATCAACTACTAGAAATAACCCTGGACAGCTTTTTTACGCTTGTCCTAAAGAGGTATGTTGATTATCCTTTTATTATTTTTCTCTGAATTAATATTAATTTATACGTCATGTGTTTGATCTTAATTTTTCAAGGACCACAATCTGGGTTTATCTGTTAGGTTGACAAAACAAAAGACAATATTCAGTGATAATCAGTAACTTATTTCGACCGAAGAAGAAACTTGAAACCAAAATATGCACTTGAAGATAACGTTAATTTGTAGTTGGATTTTATTTTTTGGAATCATTGTATACAAGTTGTAAGCTTTATGTTGATCAATTAAGTTTCCCTCTTGTAACGCTTATTAATCTTTTTAATATGTAATGTTTTCTTGTTTGTTAGTATTACTATGGTGCTTGTAAATTATGTTTTTTTCTATCTTCGTAATATGTAACAAATATTAGGGCAATAATAATATTTTTCATAATACATTACAAATCAATTACAAATACAACCATAAATAATTGCAATTACATTGACAATAAAACTGCAGTCAAATGGTCTGATATTTCCCATTCATTTGGAGGGGGAAGAGGGTGCACCGTTTGTATCTGGTAGGCAGTCTGAAACACATTAGCCCAATAATATATATGAACCATATCAGCTAATTCAAGGATGTTCGAACGACGTTATGCCGCAATAGCATGACCGCAAGCTATACCCAAACTGTGTCATTTCCCACATTAACATGTATGATGGTTCAGATTAATAACACAAGTTTTCTTAAAATCAAAAACTCGATAAATTTCAGACGGGAGCGGAGACAGGATCTCTAGCGGGGTCTTTGTTGCTTGCCACCGAACGGACTTTGCATCATTTTATAAAGCACCATTTTAACATATAAGGTGAGTATGATAGTTAAACTCGATGAAAAGTATATATGATCAAATAAGGTTATTGTACAAGTAATTAAAATAAATTTAATATTTCATCCGGTATTTTACCTGCCATTAATCTACGTTCATCGAAAGTCCGTTGAATGTAGTCACGAATTGCCTCGGTAAGCATTATTATCGGTACATTGCGTTGATTTACCGATAACATAATTTTTTTTGGGAACATCAATGTTGACTACGTTCCAACGGATGTTAGGAAAATAGACTCTTTCCTATTTCGCATGACCGGTGTTGGCAAGCATTCTACGAGCATCAGGGTCAGCCGACAGAAGTTTTCTTCAAAATTAGACACAATATATAAGATGTATGGAATCTAGAACAAAGGTTGTAATGTTCTGCTAGAGACGCCTCCTGTGCGCATATACTTGAACATACTTTTAGAAGTATACCAATGATAAGAATAAGGGAATACATGCTCTATGCAAGAACTAACAACATCGTCCATATTTGTTATGAACGATATTCCCTACCCTGTCTTAGAGCTTCTATTATCCTTATAAGGAACCGGGTACAACAATACATATTATTTTCCACGGACAAACCAAATGCTATAGGGAGGGTATGATTGTTCTCGTTGATAGCAACCACTACAAACATTGTTTTTAGGCAATCTCCTCTATGAGGGACATTACCTACAAAGATGACAAACAAGAAGCAACCTATGAATGCATGAATCTGTATTTTTTTTTTTGGAGAAAAATGAATTAATTTAGATGTAGAAACATTATATATTATAAAGAAACAATAGAAAAATGCAAAAAACAAATATACCATCCATCCAATAGCCACAAAGCAAGCTTCAAAACGCCATCAAATCAATTTTGATGTGAGTGTAAGTATGTGTGTTGGTTCGTCTAAGGTTGTGAAGGTAAACATACATGTTGTTAAAGCTTTCTTCGTGATAACTCTCTGAGAAGCTCATTTTCAAACATTTTTATAAAAGATAATTACAAATTACTTGATTTAAGGTGTGTATATATATATATATATATATATATATATATATATATATATATATATATATATATATATATATATATATATAAGACGGAAATAAAAAAAAGGCTGAGGTTATAATCAGGGCCGGTTCTCTGATTTCGAAGGCCCGGTGCGAAAACTAAAAATAGGCCCTTAATATAATTTTTTATATGTATATAAAAATATTGTTAATACTACTAAGGTGTTCTAATCGATTAAGATGGAAGAAAGTCAACTAGAAAAAAACGAAAAATAAAATGGGCCCTTTATATATATATATATATATATATATATATATATATATATATATATATATATATATATATATATATGTATATAAACAAATTTCAATAATACTAATCTATTAAAATGGATGAGAGTGAACTAGGAAAAAAATAATACAATTGATTGACAAAAAAATGATCAATTAAGTAGGGTGAGGACATTAAAAAGGGAAAAAAAATTGGTTAATTAAAAAAAACAATTATATAGAAATGAGGAATAAAAAAATCACTAATAAAGAAAAGTGGGAATGAAGAATAAAATTCCGATTAATAGAAACACGTTGAAGACGGGGTAAAAGAAAAAAGAACTTATCAATAAAAACACATTTAAGGTTGTGTAACAAGAATTGAAACTTGGTCATTTGTTAAAAGGGTAAAATTTATTTGTTACTAAATATGAATTAATATAAAGAAGAGGAAGAGTGCGCAAAGCAGAACATCAATTAATATAAAAAAAACTATGGAAGGTGTACAAAACAGGAATCGAACCTAGCTCAACTAAAAAGAAATTATAATATGCGGCGCTCTTGCCCAATTGAACCAAACGCTTTTTTAGAAATGGTTTTCATAAATGGCTATATATTAACATATTTACTATATAATCTAGCTAAAATCGGGTCCTATTTTTTTCGGGGCCCTGTGCGGTTGCACACCTTGCACACCCTCAGGGCCGGCCCTGGTTATAATCCAGAAGTCCTACTCCGGAACGAAGATATAGCTCCAGAATGTTATGTTCCGTAGCAAGTGATCATTTTACTAAAAAGTTATTTTTATTTAAGTAATTATTTATAAGGATTAGATTACTCCATAACCATGATGACCCTTGATTGTTTTGGAGACATGTTTATTTATTTATTTTTCTCCTTCATAGATAACACATGAAACTATTAAGTTTTTGTAAGTTTTGATATAACTCTTGAAAACTTAATACGTTTTCTATTAATCTATGATTGTATAATTTAAAACTATGTGATTATATAATTTATAACATATTTTCTATAAATCTGTGATTATGTAATATATTAAAAAAAATAAAAATACAGGAACGCCATTTTAATTTAGCCCAAGGGTTATTTTCTATCCAAACGTGGACTCAAAGTGGACCCAGCTTCTCTGTTACAGTTTCATCTACATGGATTTTGCCCAACTCCACGAGTTCATGTAGTTTCTTCCTTCCCTCCCTCCCCTCTAAGCATCGGATCCCTCTTTAACTATCTATTACCCACAAATCTTTTACCTTTTTTGCAATCAGTCGTTGGAACAAACAAGAAAAACCCTACCTGAATCACCAATTTCTTGTATTTCAATCCCCCACCTTGAAATTCACTTCATTCTCTGCCATGCCCTATGTTTGTTCTTCATTGTTTGTAGGTTAATATTCGTTACTTTCGTTGATCAGTGTTCTAATTTTACAGATCGAGATGGTTCCGTGGGGCGGAGTCACTTGTTGTTTGAGTGCCGCCGCTCTCTATCTTCTTGGACGAAGTAGCGGAAAGTAAATATATCCATCCCTATTCTATGCTCTCTTTCTTTAATTACTGATGTATCTTAATTTCTGCTCATTCAAATTTGTATTTTTTTTGGGTTATATTGATGTTGCAGGGATGCAGAGGTTCTCAAATCGGTAACTCGAGTTAATCAACTGAAAGATTTGGGTTAGTCATTCATTTACCCTACCATTTTTTTACCCCTGTTCGAAAAAAGAGCATTTAACGAGAGTTTATGTATCAACTTCAAAATTGCATGCATAATGTGTTATAATCTTCAAGTGCAGCCCTTTTTCATGTTTTGTTATCATTAGCGCGAGGTGTTTGGATGCTTAGGAAATAAAATGAGAATCAAACAATCACGAGAGTTAGGATAGTTAGACAGTATTACATTTATCTCAATAATTAGTTACAAAGGAGAGTGATAGAGATTGTGTTACGTAATTGATGCATAATGTATTTTTTTTTTTTGTTAACATTTCAGCACAATTACTGGATGCTGCAAACAAAGTGTTGCCTTTTGTCGTGACAATATCTGGTAGAGTTGGTTCAGATACTCCTATCAACTGCGAGTATAGTGGTTTGAGAGGAGTAATTGTGGAGGAAACAGTAATGAGCCTTTTGAATTGCATACACTTGTGTCTTGTTATTTCTTCCTTTTCATGTTCAAATTTCATTGCTTTATAAAGAAGTTGATGGCATGACAATATGCCACTTTCTCTATTATCATTTCTAGGCAGAGCAACACTTTTTGAAACATAATGATGCTGGTTCATGGATTCAAGACTCTGCTCTTATGCTATCTATGTGTAAAGAGGTTCCCTGGTTCTTAGTAAGTAATTATACCCCTCTAACCCGCTGGCAATAAAATATAACCCAAATTCAACCCATTTTCTCACATAAACGGATCCAAATCGCCTCCCTTTTTTATTAGGATGATGGAAGTGCTCATGTATATGTTGTTGGAGCTCGTGGTGCTGCTGGTTTGGTGTTAACTGTTGGAAGTGAAGTATTTGAGGAGTCAGGAAGATCACTTGTTCGTGGAACATTAGATTATCTACAAGGTCTGAAGGTATGGAATGTCTTGATTTGTTACATTATTTTTATGTATGCATATAAATGAATTCATGATGCTAAGTATGGCTTATTATGTCATTGTTTTGAAGATGCTTGGAGTCAAGAGAATTGAACGTGTTCTTCCAACAGGCACTCCATTAACTGTTGTTGGTGAGGTATGTTGTTTTTATACAAGTGAGAAAAGAAACATTGTCTCTTTTGTTTGACTTGTTTATTATATCCATTTGGCAGCTGACCATCTAAAATTTAACTAATAGAAAACCTTTTTTATGTGAAGAGTGAATAAGTTTTAAGTGGGTGAAGGAAGGGAGAACATTGTTAGTATCTAACGTTTATTTTTCATAATGAGTCTAACTATAACCAATAATTCTGAATCTGCTTAATATCTATTTTTATCAGAGTTGATGTTAGTTTTTGGTTTGATTCTTGTATATTTAAAAAAAAAAAAAACTATCAGTTTGAGTCTTCCCCTGAAATGCAGGCTATTAAAGATGACATTGGAACAGTTCGGATCCAACGACCCCTCAAAGGCCCATTTTATGTCTCTCACAAAACCATCGATCAACTCATTGCAAATCTTGGGAAATGGGCCAGGTTATTTAATATCAATCAGTATTTTCACATGTGTGCATATTGGTTATATATTGTTTTATTTTTAAAGAGAGTTTCTAGCATTTTATGACTAAATTCAAAACGCAGGAAGCTGCTTTCATGTTTATAATAGCATTTAAAATTTATTTCTACTTCTGTTTACTGAATGCTTCCTTTTCCAGATGGTACAAGTATGCTTCAATGAGTTTTGCTGCATTTGGTTTTTATCTGATTGCTAAGCATGCTTTTCAATACATAATGGAAAGAAAACGTCATTGGGAATTGAAGAAAAGGTATGGGTAGTGACTAGTGGTAGTTAATTTAATTTGCAATGCTTGTAATGGTTACCAGTTTTACCCCAAGTAGGCCCATTTTTAAATAATTAAACTGAGAACTCTCATTCATTCCACTTCACCACAATTGTTGTTGATCCTTTGTATTTTTGCTCAACCCAAATTTTGTTGATATTACAATGAAATGAGCAGTTGTTTTCTTCCAAATTTTGTATGCAGAGTTCGTGATGCTGCAGCCAAAAGAGCAGCTCCAGATAACGAAGGTCAGTTGCTCTTTTTGCTATGCATCAATTTGGATTCTTCAGAACTTCATTGCTATGTCCTAACAACAATGTTCACTCTTTGCTACTAAAAAAATTTCAGGTTCAAATGGTAAAGCAGAAAATGGATTAAGTGGCACCCGAAAGGATGTGCAAATGCCTGATATATGTGTCATATGTCTTGAACATGAGTACAATTCTGTTTTTGTCCCGTAAGTTTTCTGAAATTATCCCTCCTTAGTCTTATAAAAACTCAAAAGAGGTGGTTACATCATACATGGGCATTTTAGATATGTAGGTAATTTTATGTATATATTTTTTTTAAATAATAAACTTTCCACATGCTTCTCCAAATCTGATCATTTTGACCCTAAACCATCAGACAATCAGACCTATAGTATAATCACTTTTACATGTATTTCAATAATAGCAAAGTAATTTTGTTGATTTGTTTATTATAGCATCCTATTGTTTTCATTTCTTTCTGTTACAAATTACCCAATTATAGCAATGCCATACAAATACAAGCTGCTGTAGCTGGTTAGATTTTTCAAAGTATAATGTCCTTACAAGAAAAAAAAGTGAACTTACAACAAAAGATAAGCCCAATCGACCCATTTCTATAGAAACGTGTTGAGATTGCCCCCTCTATCTTTTCACATTCATAATAATTTAAAGCTCCCAAAACAAGAAGTCAAAACTCAAAAGTTTATTCAACATATAACATACACACTTGTTGGCCTTTTTATTCGTTTTAGATCCTTATTATTATTATTATTATATTCAGAAAATATGAATTGAAGAAAAAGAAATATGGTTTTCAGGTGTGGTCATATGTGCTGTTGTGTGACATGTTCTTCACACCTAACGAGCTGTCCGCTATGTCGATGTCGAATTGGACAGGTGGTGAAGACCTTCCGTCATTGAGAACTGCATTTGTATGCATATCAATAACTGTGATTTTAAACTCAAACTCATAATTTTGTCATTGAGAACTCTATGTATCATGTATGTATGTATGCATGTATGAATAATTATGAGTTCTTAGCATTAGTTCTACATTAGAAGTTACATATTCTCTGTTCTGCTCGGTTTATTTTCAATTTTCTTTACCCGAAGGTGTAAATATATGTACTTCACCATCTAGTTTACTGTAATTTTCAACCATTGGAGTGAATCACAAGCCATGTTTATGACATTTTTTTTCTGTTGATGTGCGTTTGTTTGAGAACCCATCTCTAACTCAATAGAGTGTGCTACCAACATAGGGCAATGTACTTTTTTTATATACATAATAATAACAACGTACTTACATTTCTTTACCCATGGTAACAATGTACTTACATTTGTTTCAACAAATATACCCAATTCCCACAAAGATGTAGGTTTGTAAGGGGAAAGTTGAGATGTGGACAAATCATACTTCCACCCAAAACCATCATGATAGGATAGAAGAAAATGATTTAAGAAAATACGATACTATGAATAATAATGCAAGAAGAAATCAATGGCATACATGAGTAGAATTAACCGGATCTAAAATACTCCACTTCCTTAGTTTTATGTACTTACATTTGTTTATCCACATTTATTGATAATGGCAATATGTGACCTTTGCAAGCTATGTATCGGTATTATGTGTAAAACATAAGTATGTTGCTATCATGGGTAAAGAATGGAAGTACATTGTTATTATGGGTAAAAATTAACAAATATTTATCAAGTTTTGGTAAAGAAATCTAAGTGCGTTGCTATTATGGGTAAAAAAATAAAGTACATCGTCTATATTGGCAGCCAGAGTATAGTACGATCCTATTCCCTACAATATCCCTTTCATAGTTTGCAAGCTCTATTCATAAAGTAATTAACATTTGTGTGTGTGTGTGTGTGTGTGTGTGCGCGCGTATTCTGACATATGATCTGTATTGTAAATTTGTAATCATACTAGCGAAAAGTAGCAATGATATTATTACCATAAATAACTAGCTATATGTACATGAGAATAGTGGAAATTGGAGAATAGAAGACATGCTTGATGTGATACAGATTCTAGGGTTCGATTAAGCATCTTTAAAGAGATGTGGATCCTTCTCTCGCACCATGCATGCATGTACCATCCACATAGTATTTCAATTCGGCAAAAACATTTTTTTTACCTTGGAATCTGCTAAAATTTTGCACATGTGAATATTGACAGCGCTTCACCATACTCTAGGCTATAATTGGTCTATATGAATAAACTTCCATAGAGGTTTCCCACTTTTAAACAATATTCCTCCAACTTTGGTGGTTAATTTCTTTCTGACTTGGAAAGCTTTCCAAGAATCTGATTCTACACACTTGATAACTGATCACTAACAGGTTGTAGCACCATATATAAAAGCAGGTAATGGAATGTGATCCCCTACCAATAACACAATATAAAAACATTACTTAATGCAATTATGTGCCGAATATATCATGCATGCCCTTAAAGAATCCTAGTCTAACCTCTTTTAACCGTTTATTATTGATTGACTGGACATGATTGAACAAGTTGTATTCTTGAGACAAAAATTGTGATTTTTTGTCATATCCAACAAAAATGTACCAGGATCGGGTAATTACTCAACTATTGATCTTTTGTTTGTGCAAAATTTCAATATATCGTCTGTGCAAAACATGTGGATTCTCTCATCTACATCATTGAAAATAACTCTAGATAGTTTGTCTAGTATGACGTTTACTATGTAACAATAACAACCTCGATCAACCAATTAATCTCTAAAAGGACATTTAGTTCGTAGAATGTTTTTGGAAGATAAATTTAAAGCATTGTAATATAAAATGTCACATATATTTTTTTGAACAACTTATTAGTGGTTAGACGTTAGTATCACCAAGATAGTCAAATCGTCAATGTCGGGATTAAAACCCGATACCTCCAAATCTAAGAGACAAAACATTTACCAAGTGGCTAGTCATCGGGTTAAACGGAAATAAAATGAAACTCATTAAAAACAGTTTAAAGATTTTAATTTTTTTCTTGTATTTACTTTTTTTTTGTTACTGTAATTTGTATATATATAATTTTAATTTTTCTATATTTTTTATATTAGTTTTTTAGTGAGAAAATAAAGGATAACTCCTATGCAATAATCCTTCAAAACCCAAAACATGAAATTTGAAGGACTCCAACGGAATTGAATTCCAATTCCGTTCTTCGCAGTCAAACACGCCATAAAGTATAAAAACGGAATCTCAAAATTCCAATTCCCACTAACGAAATGCACATTTTCTAGTTACCAAATCAGGCAAATTCGTTTTCAATTCCTTGTTAAATAGCCACAAATTGGTTATTAGTTTTGAAGTTACCAAATACCCCCAAATCTGAACCTGATGGCGAAAGATCAATCAAGCAAAAGCCTTGCCAGAAGTTCATATGAGAAGATATCCAAAGTCACTTTTGGCTCTTTACGTCGAATTTCACACTGTCCTAAGAACACTAACATTCCAAATCCTTCACTGACAACCACTGATGCTCCCCAAATCCCATCACTCCCTCTTCACCAACCTGTTTCAGGCGAAGCGCTGCAGAATCAAATCCCATGCGAGTCCATTCCTCCCCCCGTAGTAAAACCCTCTAAAAAGTTTGTGCGTTTCTCTTCGAGTAACATCAAGAAAACTAGAGATGGTGATGGTGGTGCAGGAGGGAAGGAGTTGACCGGGCAGACGACTTTTAGTGAGCAAAACGTCAATGGTTATATCGATCGTACGAAAATGAAGATGAGAGCTCCTTCAGATGTTTCTATTTCTAGGCGTGAAAGCTTCAACGACAAGTTTTCAAGTTATATTAGCCGAACCAAGTTCAGGTTGAGAACTACTTCAACTGTGGGTGCTGATGGGAAGACTGTGTCCTCTGGATGAACGTGTAGATCGACACTTGAGCTGAGCCCCATCAAAATAAGCCTGGGCGGCTCTAGTATTTTAATATAACAACGAGTGTGAGTGTGTGAATGTGTGTATTTTGAATTTTATTCTATAGTTGTAGGTACTAGGTAGGGGTTTTATTCTCTGGGGTTATTTTATTTTATTTTATTTTTATTTTTATTTATTATTATTATTATTTTTCAATTTAATCGGTAAGGTTTTTTACAGTTTTTTTTTTATAGCTTAAAGCTACTCATAACCAAATCAAATAAGGTTCGGTTTACTCAGTTTTGGTTAACTCGGTTATAGTTTATTCGGTTCGGTTTACACTACTGGAAAATTGGTAATACTACACACTGTAATCTAATACGATTGTAGTAAAATCCGTATGAAAAAAGATGTAGTTACACAATTCATATACCAATAAACATATTTTATTAGGTTTTTATAAATATTTTAATTTCGTTGTCCTTTTTTTTTTTGGTGTAATCAAACGGGCGCAAAAGGAAAAAAGCGCTCGTCTTTTCGCCTCAACTTCATATCTCTCTGCAAAGCAACCACTCCTCTCCTCCTCCCGGCGACCCCCACACCACCATCTCTCCCCCTCCCGACGTTTACCAGAGCATCGCCTCTTTCCTTTTTTTTTCTGTGCAAACAGAAACCACCAGAACTTTCGCCCTAATACCGAGGCTTTCATTTTTCGGATATCAGATTTGATCTGATGTATGATAGATTATTGGAATACGATTGAATATGTAAGGGAAAAAGGATCATATGTACAACATATCAGAGCAGGACCGAGGCTACTCTCACTCAATGTTGATCGACACAGGTGAAGACGTGAAGCTTTGGTTGTTACGTGATCACTAAACTGGCAATCACTTTTGATTTCTCTTATCTATTGCACCGATGTACCACCATTGCTGAACCAGTAGCTTCTTGAAGGTATTTTATTCATATGCTCTTAATCGATTCTCAGTTTTTATTATCAATTTATACTTTACAATCCAGTTTGCTCTTATCGATTCTCAATTTTATGCATTTAATTGATTCTCAACTAGTATGCTATCCGATTCTTTTATTTTGTTTATTTTGTCTGCTTTTGATTTCTTAGAAATTGACTCTTAGTTTTCTAATACCACTAGTTTAACACTCTATTTATACAAACATGTTCTAACTTAGGAATTATTGACTTTTCTTTGTGAAAGTTGTCATTTATATGTAGTAATTGATTCTTGAGACATGTATCTCACAGTATAGTGATTCCGGTTTTTGATGCTCTGTCATCCTCTTTCTTTTAATCAGTAGAACTTAGTATATTGATTCACGGTTTTTTGTATGTTGTAGCAGTAGTACTTGTATTCTTTTTTGCTTTATCATTCTTAGCTTCTAATTTGTATTATCTATTCTTAGTTTTTGATTTAAATTATTTAATCAGTAGAAGGGCAGAACTTATTTGAGTTATAATGCACGGATTTAGTTGATGAGGCATTGAAGGCCTTAACGAGGGTTAACCGATATCTACATGTGAGGCGACAAGTTACATATTTGGTTTTGCTCTATTTACAAGATCATAACTTTCTTTCAATTCTGTTTGATGTCATATCTTTCAAATTATTGACCACTTGCAATGATGATTATGGTTTTCCTGATCATTTGCATACATTATCTAAATACAAATCTTACTCTGTACAATGCGGTACTGAAAGCTAATCAACATCAGACTCGAACAAGCTATGCAGCCAAAAGTTGCACGGGATATTCACATTGATTTTGAAAGGGTGGAATTCATCTATCTGCAGGTTATTTTCTTCACTATGATTTATAAGTACTACTATCTTAGCAAGTGTATTCACTAACTACACATTGTTATATGACTTGACTTCACAAAAAAGAAAGATCGAGTGAGTCAACTTAATATTGAAATCGCCAAATGCTTTGCATAGTAAGTAAATGTGATTTATATGATGATATACTTTTATATTCTAATGAACCACATATAATTTTTTGTTAGGTATAATGAAAATAAAGCCAAGGATCCATGCCATGTGGATATATATATATATATATATATATATATATATATATATATATATATATATATATATATATATCCAAGTAACATTATGTATACCATATAACTTACACCATCTTGTTAAGCCTATTAAATAGTAACACAACACGTTTTGAAATGATTGAGAATCCTAACAAAACCAAACATTGTGTCGGCTGCTTTGCAATGGGCATATGATGACGAGGTTCAATATTACTATTGTCACACCCCAAAAC